GCAGCCAGGCAGCATGGAGAGCAGCATCCAGCTGGTAAGTCTGTGGGGGGGAAGGGGCATGGGGGAAGGAAGAGGTGTGGGAGGGGGTGTGCAGATTGAGGCCCCCGCAGTGAGGGAGGGAGTGGGGCAGGGGTCCATACAGAGACAGGGAACCACACCCCTCTCTACATCCCCAGGACTAGCCACCTGCAGCTCCATCCTGCCCCTAGGGTTGCAGTCACTGCCCTGGCTGGACAGCGCCTGTGCCTGCCCCACTCCCTCCCTCACCGTGAGGCCCTTCATCTGCCACACCCCCTATGCCCCTCCCCTTCCCCCCTACAGACTTACTGGCAGGAGGCTGCTTTCCAAGATGCCAGGCTGCATTCCTGCAAATTGGCTATTGGATCGGTATCGGACGAAACAGCTGGTTAATAATCGGCCACTGGTATCAGCCAAGAAAATGTTTATCGGTACACCCCTACTTAAGAATATGCTGTTTGTATGCAGGCTCCAGGTATTATCACCTCCAATATTCCAAGATTTCAGGCTTCACCATTGCTGTAACAGGGCACTGTTGGGTGATGAATTAAAAATAAATGCTTCCTCTGCAGCATGTCAGAAAAAGCAAATCTATTTCAATTCCCCCAAAAATGGGTAATGTAAGTGTGTTGGCAAGGTGCTAATCTGTCATTTTCTCTGTGGCACCACAGCTTTTGAGTCACCACTAGGAGACAGGGACCACATTGCTCTATACAGTCTAGTACAGTTCTGAATAAAGTACATCAGGCAGGGAGAAATAGCACTTGTGAGCTAGTTCTCCACTCCCAAGAGAGGTCAAGCATAGCCATAATTTTAAAAGGGGTGATTCTGAACTAAGCCATGTGGCATCCATTATTTGGGACCTTATTTTCCTTCCTTGACAACATACAACATTCCTCTTGAAAAAACTGTCCCCACATGCTCTACCCTTCCCGTTCTGAATGAACATTTAGTGCTCTTCCCTCTACAGTACCTCCTCAAGTATCTGTTTCTATTTGTTTTCCTCTGAAAGCAGCAACCACAGTTACATACTGTGGTTCCACTGCATAGCTGACCAGATCACGGCATCTTTCCAACACAGCTACCTTAGGAAAACATCACAAACGCTAAGCTTCATAACCCCTGGTAATATTTTCCTATTGCTCCCCACCTTATTTAGAAAATGAAAGCTTTAAGTTATTCCAAAGTCTTTTAGAAACCTTCTGGTTTTAGCTGAGTCTTATTCACTTTGCAATTTTGTTTCATATTCTGCCAGACAGCATGCAGTAAAAATCAAGGAGTGAATTCAGTTTTAAATTTCATTTGCCACATGTGATTTCATTTACTTACTCCAGCCCAAACCTCTATCACTTCCTTTGTTCTCTACAGGTTGTTTATTACTCCCCATAGTTTTATGTGAACAACTTTTTTTTAATAAGTTGCACATTTCATTCTCTCTCAAAGATATTTACAGAACAGTTTGGGGTTCACTAAACATCGTTCCTACTATCTAGGATCTCCAGTGGATCAGTACACTTGAGGTTGTTTGCACAAATCTGAAGAAATGGCATCTCATCCAGGGCTGCAGACATAACTGTCATTGTTGACCCTGTCTTGTATCCTCCCCAGGGTCGGGCCTTTTCTGAATACCAGAGAGCACAGCTGGTTTATGCTTGCTGCCTACCTCACCTCCCAAACCCTTTCCAGAAGAAAAAGGAAAAACCTGGCCAATCTGAAGACAAGTTAATGCACCACTGTGGAATCTCTAAGAAACTGCTGTATTGCTTATACCCAAAGCAACTCTCCTACATTTCTTCTTAAGCCAGTTCTAGAGGTTCTATAGATAGCAGAAGTCACAAAGGCCAAATGGATGTTCCAAAGATGTGCAATCCTGGTACTGAATTAATTCACTTTTGTTACATTGTGCTCAAGCCCCACTGCCAGACAACACCCACAGTTACGAATGGGCTAAGTTAAATAAACAAACTGAAATACATCAGAATTTTGAAAGGATTATAAAACCTCATGTTTCAAGACTTAAGTCATCCTCTACTGAAAAGGAGTTAGATGGAAACTTTTTCTGTGACCAGGTCACAATATGTAACTGCCTACTGCACTGTTGCTTGCTCTTCTTCAGCAGATGGTACTGGTCACTTCTGTTCCACTATCTTGCCCCCAGAGGGATTAGGGGTCTTATCTGGTGTGGTAATTGGTATGTTCCATCAGTCAGAATTCAGATCACACAGGCAGGGGTCGTCTTCACTGCAAAAAAAAAAAAAAAAAAAAGG